CGGCTCAGAATCATTTTCTGATTTGGTAAATTGATCTTCTATTGTCCTAGGGACGAAGCCTATTGAAAATGGTTAACATCGGTCCATTATTTCACCTAGCCCCCATACAACTGAACCCCTCGAATAGGGCTTTTAAAATTTGTAATCAAACTACAGGTCGCAATTTTGGAGATAATTCAATGAAATTCGGCACATGATCTTTTATGGTACCGTAGATGAAGCCTGTTGAAAATGGTTTACATCGGTCCATTATTTCACCTAGCCCCCATACAACTGAACCCCCCAATAGGGCTTTTAAAACTTGTAATCAAACTACAGGTCGCAATTTTGGAGATAATTCAATGAAATTTGGCACATGATCTTTTATGGTACCGTAGATGAAGCCTGTTGAAAATGGTTTACATCGGTCCATTATTTCACCTAGCCCCCATACAACTGAACCCGCCGAATAGGGCCTTTAAGTTCATAATTATGTTTAATATACTCATATCTCGACAAAAAGCTGCAATAACCAAGTTGTATACAAGACTTGATGACCCCCACGAATTCCATAATAATAGGTTCTCATATGACCCTAGCCCCTATGAAAAGCCCCCATCAAAATTTCAGTTAAAGGTCCACAATTTTATTCAACAATAAACGGCTTAAGTATGTATATCTAAGGCAAGGTACAATTCAACTTAAATGCTTTATTATGGCAACTAAATCACATTATATTTTTGTCAAAGGTGTAGGGTATTATATGGTCGGCCTCGCCCGACTATAATTTCTTACTTGTTTTTTTTTTTTTTTTTGGTGTAGGGTATTTTGTGGTCGGCCCCGCCCGACTTTAATAATTGAGAAAATTGAGAATTATTTGGATAAGAAAACTGGAGTAGGGTGGTACTAAGCTATAAGAAATAATTGATAGCATGAGTGGACCCATGAATTCCGAATTCAGAACTTAAGCTCGACAAAAAATTTTAACAAAACTCAGTTTTTTTTCTGTTTCGAAATTAAATCTATATACATTTTTTTATTTGATCAAACCCAATATTCCTCAAAACACATTTCATCAAGAAGGTTTTTGAAAAAAATATTTTAAATATTATTAATTTATGTTGCACCTATACCTATTACTAGTGACACCACCCTACTATTAAATACTTACTTCATATACATAAAATACAGATCCTAAAATTCAAAAGCTTTTCATTGCAGTTGAATTTGATTTTTGCATATTTTTGTTGAACATTCCACACAGACACCTAAATACGGAAACAATTATTTTCAAATATAACCACATACCTAGTGGGAAAATTTGGAAAACTATTAAGAAAAATAAAGCAATTACAAGATTTATAACCAGATATATAGATTCTTATAGATCTTTCATCTAACAACAATTTTATTAGAAAAAGGTTCTAACCTCAAGACATTCAACTCCAAAAGCATGAGTACCCTATCTGAAATTGTACATAACAATAGTTTAAAGAGATACAACCTTTCTACCTTTAACCAACGATATGTTCTGTCACAACCAACAACCTAGTCCATAAACTATTTTGTATGCGTTAGACAAAGTGTTTTAATGGTTGTTGTTGTTGTCTTTTTTTTTTTTTTGTATCATCGTCATCACGTGAGTAGCATGAGTTAAAATATTTATTTGTAATTTGTAAGACTGACGACCTAACGACCGCCTTCCTTTTCTACCGATGCGCTTGTCCATACACATACTAAAACACAGGCAAACGAAATATAACAAAATATTTGAGTTCGTTTTTAAATTGTAGAAAAACTCCCTGTCTGGGAATTATGCGATCAAGTACAATTGTCGCACATTTATTGCGAACTTGGCTTTTATTGCGGCCAAATGCACCAAATGTGGCCAGTAAAACAAACACCACCAATAACAAAAGCTGAGGTTTAGTTCTAGTAACAAAAAAAGTGTGTTTTTTTTTTTGTGGAAAGGACAATTGTTTAAATGTTCTACGAAGCTAGGTATATGCATGTGTAAGAGTAAAATGTGAGGAAATTAAAATACAGATGCGGGTCAAAATAGAAAAGAATAATTTTCCAAATTCTCATTTTTTCTCAGATAAAGTATTAGTAAGACTAACTACTTTACATTATACCTCAGGCTATAATCCAGATTATATAGTTCTGACTATAGAGAAGACTACAACCGAGGCTATAGCTACATATTGCCAACACTATAGTCTATACTGCAGCTAAGCGTAAAATCCACACTATAGCCAAGCTTACAGTTCAGACTAAAGAAATAGTCCAAACTGTAAAAAAGGCTTGACTACAGACAAGATTATAGTCTGGCCTGGCAAGAAAATAGTCTGGAATACAGAAAAGACTACAATCTACAAGAATATAGTCGGGACTATATATAGCCAATATTATGTAGTCTAGACTATAGACAAAACTATAGTATGGAATATAGAAAAGACTATAGTCTGGACTATAGACAAGACTATAGTCCGGACTATAGACAAGACTATAGTCCGGACTATAGACAAGACTATAGTCCGGACTATAGACAAGACTATAGTCCGGACTATAGACAAGACTATAGTCCGGACTATAGACAAGACAATAGTCTGGACTATAGACAAGACTATAGTCTGGACTATAGACAAGACTATAGTCTGGACTATAGACAAGACTATAGTCTGGACTATAGACAAGACTATAGTCTGGACTATAGACAAGACTATAGTCTGGACTATAGACAAGACTATAGTCTGGACTATAGACAAGACTATAGTCTGGACTATAGACAAGACTATAGTCTGGACTATAGACAAGACTATAGTCTGGACTATAGACAAGACTATAGTCTGGACTATAGGCAAGACTATAGTCTGGACTATAGACAAGACTATAGTCTGGACTATAGGCAAGACTATAGTCTGGACTATAGACAAGACTATAGTCTGGACTATAGACAAGACTATAGACAAGACTATAGACAAGACTATAGACAAGACTATAGACAAGACTATAGTCTGGACTATAGACAAGACTATAGTCTGGACTATAGATAAGACTATAGTCTGGACTATAGACAAGACTATAGTCTGGACTATAGACAAGACTATAGTCTGGACTATAGACAAGACTATAGTCTGGACTATAGACAAGACTATAGTCTGGACTATAGATAAGACTATAGTCTGGATATAGACAAGACTATAGTCTGGATATAGACAAGACTATAGTCTGGACTATAGACAAGACTATAGACTGGACTATAGACAAGACTATAGACTGGACTATAGACAAGACTATAGTCTGGACTATAGACAAGACTATAGTATGGACTATAGACAAGAGTATAGTCTGGACTATGGACAAGAGTATAGTCTGGACAAGACTATAGACAAGTCTACAGTCTGGACCATAGACAAGACTATAGTCTGGACAATTGACAAGACTCTGGACTATAGAAAAGACTATAGTCTGGACTATAGACAAGACTGTAGTCTGGACTATAAACAAGACTATAGTCTGGACTAAAGACAAAACTATAGTCTGGACTACAGAAAAACCTATAGTCTGGACTATAGACAAGACTATAATATAGACTATTGACAAGATTATATTCTGCACTATAGACAAGACTACAATCTGGACTATAGACAAGACTATAGCCAAGAATATAGTCTGGATATTAAACTAGACTATAGACAAATGTAAAGACCGGACTATAGACAAGAATAAAGTCTGGACTATACCGAAGACTATAGTCTGGACTATAAACAACACTATAGTCTGGACTACAGGGAAAACTATAGTCTGATTTATAGACAAAGCTATAGTCTGGGCTATAGACAAGACTACAGTCTGGACTATAGACAAGACTGTAGTCTGGACTATAGTCTGGACCAAATACAAGACTATAGTCTGGACCAAATAAAAGACTATAGTCTGGACCATAGACAAAACTTTAGTCTGGACTATAGACAAGACTTTAGTCTGGACTATAGACAAGACTATAGTCTGGACTATAAACAAGATTATAGTCTGAGCTATAGTCTGGACTATAGACAAGACAATAGTCTATAGTCTAGTCCAGGACTATAATCTGGACTATAGACAAGTCTAAAATCTGGACTATAGACAAATCTAAAATCTGGATTATGGTCTAGGTCTGCCCTAATAATTACAAACGCCTCTGCTCTTGTAATAAAACATTAATAGCAAGCAATGTTAAGGTCATTGCTATAAAACTACTAAATTTACATACAAGAGCGGGCGATAGAGCAAGAGATGCCTGGTGTATATAAGTTACATTACCCAGTCGGTACCCAGGCAACTACATGCAAACATAGTTAGACAGCAAAAGTTTTCAACAAAACTGACACAACAAAAATGTTTATTAAAAAATTTTCCTTTTTCCAAACAGAACAATTTATTACAAAACTATTTGGAAATTCTATTAAAATTCAGATTGAGAAAAAAAGTGAAGAGAAAACAACAATAACCAAACAACATACCTTTAACTTTTGATCTAAAACCATTTTATTGTGTTTGTTGTATGGAGAATGTTCTAAAATGGTAACAAATATGAATAAATATCAATTTTCACATGTGTCATGGCTTAAAAGTAACAGGATAAAAAAAGACCGAAAAAATTCCCAACCTGAACACTTTATGAAAATTTAATGTCTGCAAATTTAGAATATTCTACATACAAAACACAGACACACACACAAACTGTCACACTTCTAAATATTTACACTTACATACATACAATGAAAATGAATTTCTATGGAAAATTGTTTTATTTTTACGAAAAAGGACATCACATATGAATGTGTGAGTATGTGGGTTTTTAACAATTATGTGTGAGTGTGATGTGGTTATTGCTGTTGTTGGTTTTATTATTCAAAAATGATTTCCTCTAAGTCCAGTCTCACGATTGTTTCGTATATTTCTGTTAGTATTATTACGTTAATATGCGGTTTGTGTTCAACGACATGACGCGTTTACATAAAATTCATTCTTACCATTTTGGTTTGCCTGGTTGCTTAGTGGGTTGTTGGTTAGCTAAAATGGGCTTCCTGGTTGTTTGAATGTCTGCTGACAAAACATTTGCACAATTTTCTGCATTGTAAGGCAGAGTCAGGATATACTGAATGGTGGTATTTCGCCATAAAAAGATATACATTTATTTCGACAAACTGTATGTAAAACGTGCGTATATTAGTAATTGGGTCTAAAACTTTATAATCCTTGCGCTTATCTAAACTTACACAGTTCCAGTAACGATGCAAGTGCCCCAACTAATTTGTCAAAAGAACAGATTTTAGATTTAGTATAAATTATCCATGTTAGTTGGTATTTTAAGTATTTTAATTATCCATTTACAATTTGAATTTTGCCACACAAAGAAATTCCTTTTGCAGAAGAAAGATTTATGTTTTTTTTTTTTTTTTGTGAAATTAGTTTTTTGATTTATGATTTTTTGTCTTCCAAAAATTTTGTTTAATTAAAATTATACAACAAAGTCTATATATTGTTTGCTTGCTACAAATAATGACTAATATTAAAAAGTTCGATACACCCTGTATTAGTGTATATTTTAACTTGATCTCTAGCAAAGTCACAAACCTGAAGAACTGAGCACAGTAATCAAATAACAGTATTGCCAGAATGAACATAAATTGGCAGTTGCCATATGTTATTGATCATAAAAAGATGATTCTGTAGGAAAAATTTTTAAATAAATAAAAGCAAGAAAGTTTTAACTTGTTTTGACAAATCTTGTTCTATTGATATTGCAATGCATTTTCGATATTTTTTACGCAACAGACCTCTTGCATCAAGAACACACCCATTTGTGGTCGATTAGCTAATGGACCGCATAACACATTACAGAGAAAATTCATTCTTCAGCCGCACTGTTCCCATATGGAATAAACTTCCTGCAGAAGTATTCCCCGCCACTTTCGATTCGTTCGATACAATTTAAATCAAATGTCCACTAAGACTATCCTCCCTCTAACCACATACATATTTTCCTAGTTCCAACATAATGCAATGCATATGTAGGGTCGTCCCCCGAGTACATAATATTTACGTGTTTTACGAATTCTATTTTGATCACTTAGTTATACAAAAATTACCATTAACATACGAAGTGGGCGTGGCCATGATATTACCGCCCTCTTTTTTTGTAGGGTAGTTCCTTTCATCCTTTGTTAAGAATCTTGGACAAAAATAGATTTAACAAGTAAAATTCTTATATTCGGCTATGCCGAATCTTATATCAAATCTTATGCCGTATATTTGTAAAAGGACTTAAGTCAATTATGGACGAGCTCTTTCGAATTAACAAAATATTAATTTTTTTCCAATTTTTAAACCATGAACATATGTATATGGGTCAATTATGAACCGATTGTTCTAAAATTTGTTAGATAGATTTTGGGTCGTATAACACTTTTTCGATTCGAATTCCATGGTAATTATCTGAAGGGGACCTTATATGGATATCTATGAATCGATACTCATAAAATTGTGTTCATAGATTTTGTTCTGTTGGCTAGGGCCAGTTATAGACCAATTCTCATAAAATTCTGAATAAAGAATTAGAAGACATTGTATGAAACTTATTTGAGTCGAATTTCATCGCAGTAATAGTATTTCTAAGCCAGTAATGGGCGTTAAGGTCGTTTTCTGAAGAGAACATTATTACGTACAGATATTCATTAAATTTAGTAGAGACATTTTTGCTCGTATGAAAATTATTTGTGTCGAACTTCATTACTGTACTCGTATTTTTAAGACAATAATGAGCGTAAAGTTCTTAAGAGAACCTTATATGGGGGGTAGGGTCAATTATGGACCGATTCCCATAAAATTTGGTAAAAAAGATTTTGGCTCATATGAAACTTGTTTATGTCGAATTTCATTGCTATACTCGTATTTTTGAAACAGTTATGACTGTCAAAGCTGTTGACTATGTGAAATAGTCCATTGCAATACCAAACAAACCTTGCCTGTAAGGAATATTTATGAAAAATTTTAGCTCTCTATCTCTTTCCGATCGAACCCCATGGTGCTTTCAACAGACAGACGGACGGACATGGCTAGATCGTTTTAGAATTTAAAAAGGACGCAGAATATATATGCTTTTGTGGGTTAACAACCAATATTTCTATGTGCTACAAACGGAATGACAAAATCAATATACCCCCTCATCTTTTTTTAGGGTGGGTATAAAAAGTGACACTCAGTCAATAGGTATAATTTTAGGTGGTAAAAGTATGTTATTTTAAAATGATATTTTAAAAACCAGATTCGGATTCAACGCAACCCAATCCTTTAAAAAAGTATATTTTAGTCTCCGGGATTCGACTTTTTAGAAATTTTGTAGGCCTGTGTAGTCAACAATAGTCAATATAAACTAAACTATAGAATATATTATAGACTAGACTATAGACTAGACTATAGACTAGACTATAGACTAGACTATAGACTAGACTATAGACTAGACTATAGACTAGACTATAGACTAGACTATAGACTAGACTATAGACTAGACTATAGACTAGACTATAGACTAGACTATAGACTAAACTATAGACTAAACTATAGACTAGACCATCGACTAGAACATCGACTAGACCATCGACTAGACCATCGACTAGACTATAGACTAGACTATAGAATAGACTATAGACTAGACTATAGACTAGATAGACTAGACTATAGACTAGACTATAGACTAGACTATAGACTAGACTATAGACTAGACTATAGACTAGACTATAGACTAGACTATAGACTAGAACGATAGACTAGACTATAGACTAGACTATAGACTAGACTATAGACTAGACTATAGACTAGACTATAGACTAGACGATAGACTAGACTATAGACTAGACTATAGACTAGACTATAGACTAGAACTATATACTAGACTATAGACTAGACTATAGACTTAGACTATAGACTAGACATAGACTAGACTATAGACTAGACTATAGACTTAGACTATAGACTAGACTATAGACTAGACTATAGACTAGACTATAGACTAGACTATAGACTAGACTATAGACTAGACTATAGACTAGACTAATAGACTAGACTATAACTAGACTATAGACTAGACTATAGACTAGACTATAGACTAGACTATAGACTAGACTATAGACTAGACCTATAGACTAGACTAGACTATAGACTAGACTATAGACTAGACTATAGACTAGACTATAGACTAGACTATAGACTAGACTATAGACTAGACTATAGACTAGACTAGACTAGACTATAGACTAGACTATAGACTAGACTATAGACTAGACTATAGACTAGACTATAGACTAGACTATAGACTAGACTATAGACTAGACTATAGACTAGACTATAGACTAGACTATAGACTAGACTATAGACTAGACTATAGACTAGACTATAGACTAGACTATAGACTAGACTATAGACTAGACTATAGACTAGACTATAGACTAGACTATAGATAGACTAGACTAGACTAGACTATAGACTAGACTATAGACTAGACTATAGACTAGACTATAGACTAGACTATAGACTAGACTATAGACTAGACTATAGACTAGACTATAGACTAGACTATAGACTAGACTATAGACTAGACTATAGACTAGACTATAGACTAGACTATAGACTAGACTATAGACTAGACTATAGACTAGACTATAGACTAGACTATAGACTAGACTATAGACTAGACTATAGACTAGACTATAGACTAGACTATAGACTAGACTATAGACTAGACTATAGACTAGACTATAGACTAGACTATAGACTAGACTATAGACTAGACTCTAGACTAGACTATAGACTAGACTATACTAGACTATAGACTAGACTATAGACTAGAACTATAGACTAGACTATAGACTAGACTATAGACTAGACTATAGACTAGACTATAGACTAGACGATAGACTAGACTATAGACTAGACTATAGACTAGACGATAGACCAGACTATAGACTAGACTATAGACCAGACTATAGACTAACTATAGACTAGACTATTGTATTATTAAAAATTTGTAGGCCTGTGTAGTCAACAATAGTCAATATAAATATCTATTAAAATTAATAAAGGCTGTAAATATTACAACAAGATATAATTCTACATAAATAACCTTTATAAGAAATAAATCACTGTATAATTATTTTATGACCCCATAGATTGACCTCTCTCAAAGATTCGGCATAGCGCAGACACCAACCTTTACTTAAAATTATTTATCGATAATTACAATGTACATTGAAATTCTGGCAACACTATTATGTATTAGATATCTCTTGAAAATAGTTGTTCTCTTTGGTGATCATTGAAATGTTTAGTTTGTCTCTCATTTTTCAATTCCTCTTTATTTTATCCTACACTTATTTTGAGTGTACGAGTTTTAAGTAAAACATGTTTTTTAATCTACAGTAAAACATCGATTGATTGTAAATCGATTTATATATCATTAAATTTTATCCAGTGATCAGGAAAGTCATTATATGAATGATAGATAAAAACTTAATTTTGATAACTATGTACATATGTATAACCTCATGTCCGACCGAATTCGGACTTGCTGGTGCTTGCACTTTATGCAGCGATACAGAAGACCCGAATTAATTGACTGAATTCTTAATGGAGATCTCAGAAAACTATTGTGTTTATACCAAACCTTACGAGATCATACTGTTAATGTTCCCCTGATACTTTGTTTCTTCAATTTATTATTGTTTTGTTGTTTATTTTTCTCATTCCCATTACCCATCGTCTTCTATACAAATCATCATTGGAACAAAAATAGCCTGGGTCAGCATATTTTCTGCCGTTGTTGAAGTAAATTGTTGTGGTTTGTTTTCTTTTTGGAAAAAAAAGAAGAAATAACTACACATTTGCGTCTTGTTTGTTCTTCATCTTTTGTGCTGAACTCTAGATCTGTCTGTCTGTCCGCATGTTTGTCGAATAATGCCGCAAACGGAAATATTGATATGATTTCTTTTTGTTTTTCTTCTTTTTTACTCGTAATTCTTATTTAGTTTAAAAGATCACTGGCTAAATTTGTACTTTTGTATACAAATTATTCACTCTATTTCTCTCACAAACTCTCTCTCTCTCTCTCACTCTGCTGGGCCAATGTAAATTGTGTATACAATTTTATTTATTTTTTTTTACAGTTCAGTGATCTACGCGATGTTGTCTTAAAAGCAACATTTATCCATTTAACAGAATTATTTAATTCGTTTTATAATTAATTTTATGTTGTCTTTTTTTTTATAACTTTTATTTATATTTTTTAACATTTTAATTGTATTCGTGTTTTTTTTTTTGTGTATTTTTTTTAATTATGGTTTAAAGGTGAAACAAGTTTTAGTTAAAGAAATAAGGAAAGAAAA